TAATTAAAAAATAAAATGTAAAAAAAATTAAAAAGCAGGTAAATTTATAAAATAAATAAATAAAACTTCTGAAAAATAAAAATGAATATAAATTTGGTTATCTTTTGGACGAAACGGCACTAAAATCATTTCTAATGGTTATGTGGAAAATAACGACAGTTGCAATTAATTAAAAATACAGTAGTATAATTAATTCAGAAAATTCGATGCAAAATTAATATTACATGAGGACTCAGAGTTGACAATTTACTTTTAACAACAGTTTGTTATATTTGTTCGATATTTTCTCCTATTTTTGTAAAATGAAATTAGAGGAAAAACTTCCTAATCTGTTAATGTACTGTACACCAACACTCCCTAATCCATTTTTCCTTGTGTGAGAAAGACTTGGAAATATTTTTAAGAAATGGGAGGATGGGGAGGATAATTTAGAAAATAATAATTGTGTTGAATTGACGACCGAATGTGACGTACTGTACACACAGAGGATCCTTTTAACTAGCCACCAATCATTAATAGAACTCATAGTTCAGAAGGGCCTCAACATAGGAAATTTCTTGATTTCGCTTTCTTGGCTTGGAAGTAGGATTATATTATAACAAACACATGTAACTTATGTGTAAGTCGTGTATTGTCTGCCACTTAATACATGTTTGAGAACAGTTTTAATTCATTTTAACATTGTCAATTGTAAGTTGGTTTGTTCACGATAATTATAATTTAATTTACAATATTAGTGTCTTACAAGAAAACAAATCTGCAAAGTAATTTCATTCTGTTCTCTTTTTAACAAGTTAATGTCGAAAGATAAATTGTCGTTGTCAAATCTTAACTGGTGAATTTCGTTATAGAATGTTACGGTGTTACGGAAGCGTAACTCGAGTAAAGTTCGTCAAACTGTCCACGCGGGTTTTCCCCAAGAAGTAGTCACGTGTTAGCAATAAAGGTTAGTTTCTACATTCTGGGGGGAAGCGCGCTGTCGGACGCAACAACGGGTGTTTGTAATAGTAGTTTACGGTTGGAGGCGATGTGTCGTGCTCCACGGCTCATTTAGTTCCGTTTTAGTGTTAATTATGTGGTTTTATGAATGAAAAATTACAAGTTGTGAAAGTGCACGTCAATATATATTTGGATGTGTGATGGTAGTTATCATGTTAGTGTTGTGCAGGTTTTAGAATGTGATAAAAAATTAAAAATTTTAAGTTTACTGAAATTGAAATATGAAAGAATAGTGAATTTTTATATTAAAGATTTGATGTCAGCTCAAGTAGAAAATTGTATGTAAGATTTCTTTAAATCATGGATGGATATTTGTTTCGAATGTTTTGATGATGATCTTATTTAATGTGAAATGATAACAGTTCCTTTGTCTACCATTAAAATTTTTAGTTTTTATTGCTGGTTATGCTATTCATAAAATATTACAGAAGATTTTATGTGAAAAGTGTACATCAGTAATATCCTATCAATATTTAGATAAAAAATTAGAGATTGACAGTTTACGACCTGAGCTTACATTAAGGAAATTGACAAATAAGGTCTTTCATATCCATCTGATTTATTTCTCTCTTTAATTATTGAATTATATAAGCGTTATCAATGCTTATTACAAGCTAAGTATGAAGATCAATTTCTACAATGCAAAAAACAAAGAGAATTATTTATTAAATTTTCATTTGAAAGAATAGAACTAATCGATTTAGTATTTGTCAGTGTTCCATGTATCTGTGGAACAATGCCATATTTTCTTTTCAAAAATTTTTNTTATGCTATTCATAAATTATTACAGAAGATTTTATGTGAAAAGTGTACATTAGTAATATCCTATTTAGATAGAAAAATTAGAATTTGATACTTTACAACTTGAACGTACAAGTTATATTAAGGAAATTTACAGAGATGGTCTTTCATATCCATCTGATTTATTTCTCTTTTTAACTGTTGAATTATATAAGCTTTTTCAATGTTTATTACAAGCTCAGTATGAAGATCAATTTCTACAGTGCAAAAAATAAAAAAGAATTATTTATTAAACTTTCATTTGAAAGCATTGAGCTAATTGATTTAGTATTTGTCAGTGTTCCATGTATCTGTGGAACAATGCCATATTTTCTTTTCAAAATTTTTTAAATATAATTTCAAATGTTTTTTAAAATAATTATTGTCATGCAAGAACATCGGCCTCGATAGCTATGCCTTGAAAAAAAAAGGAAATTACAAACTTACTACAAATCTATAAATTAATTACTTTAAATACTTTATCTACACATTTCCACTCACTCCCACTTATTCTCACAATAGTAATAAATTATTATATATTAACTTAGATTTCTCTGTTTTGAAATGAATTACTATCTTTNTGTAAATTAATTACTTTAAATATTTTACTTACACATTTCCACTTGCAGTTATTCTCATAATAGTATGAAAGATATGACTGGAAGAAAAAGGAAATTACAAACTTACAATAAATCTGTAAATGAATTACTTTAAATACTTTACCTACACATTTCCACTTGCACTTATTCTCATAATAGTAATAAATATTTATATACTGTATTAAGTTAGATTTCAAAATCCCACAAAAATGTTAAANTTTAATACGTTTATAACATTTAAATATTACATCGACAAATAAATTTTAAAAATAATTCTTTTGATAAAAAAATATTCGATGTAACATAAATAATCAGTAATTACCGCATTGATAACCGGCTAAGGCAGGAAATGCCAATACTATGACGTCATAATTATCACTTACAAGCACGCCTTGGATACGATGGTCTCGGTTCTACGCACACTCGGTTTATCATACATCACGTGGGTTTCGTAGCTACAAACTATGAGGTGAGTTGGTGACGTGCTACCTGTTGACTTCTATTAACTTTGAGTGTACACCCCTTGTTTAATGCTACAACGCGAACAATACCAATGAGTTTACTTGCCTGCTTTTGTTAGGATTCTTTCATATTATGGCCAACTGATCTGACTTCACAAGCGTCTAGAGCAGTGTTCCGCAACCGGTGTGCTGCGGCACACTGATGTGCCGTCACATGGTGAAAGGTGTGACGTGAACTTTTACATATTCTGTTAATTTCAAATTTTATTTATATATTTTTATCACAGTTGTTGTGNCACTCGGTTTATCATACATCACGTGGGTTTCGTAGCTACAAACTATGAGGTGAGTTGGTGACGTGCTACCTGTTGACTTCTATTAACTTTGAGTGTACACCCCTTGTTTAATGCTACAACGCGAACAATACCAATGAGTTTACTTGCCTGCTTTTGTTAGGATTCTTTCATATTATGGCCAACTGATCTGACTTCACAAGCGTCTAGAGCAGTGTTCCGCAACCGGTGTGCTGCGGCACACTGATGTGCCGTCACATGGTGAAAGGTGTGACGTGAACTTTTACATATTCTGTTAATTTCAAATTTTATTTATATATTTTTATCACAGTTGTTGTGTTTTTTATGCTGGTATTTCATTCTCTGCCGCAGCACTGAAGAAATAAGATGATATTTGTTTATTCTTTATTACAAGCCACGCATTTTTATGTATTCTAAAAAATTATATGAAAAAAAATTGCTCACAGGTGTTGATGTCTGTTTAATAACGATAATAATAGGTTAGTGGCATTACGTAATTCTATTAATCGTATCATATGGTACGTTTTTGAGAGGAATAACATTTTGGTGTGCCGTGTTGAGTCATGGGTGTGCCGCAGGTAGAAAAAGGTTGCAGAACACTGGTCTAGAGCAGGGGTCGGCAACCTGCGGCTCGCGAGCCACATGCGGCTCTTTGGATGTGAAGCTGCGGCTNCATCGAAATTTAATAGCATCAATTCCCTAAATGAAAGGAGAAAACCTAGAAAAAGACTGACGATGTAACAACGTGTTTGCCAGACGAGTGATAAAAACGAGGTGGGTTCTAGGAACAATATTTGTTTATCTTATATCACGTGGGTTTCGTAGCTACAAACTATGACGTGAGTTGGTGACGCAATACCTGTTGACTTCTATTAACTTTAAGTGTACTGTAACCCCTTGTTTACTGCTACAACGCGAATAATAGCAATGAGTTTACTTGCCTTCTTTTTTAGGGCTCTTTCATATTATGGCCAACTGTGTGACTCCACAAGCGTCTAGAGCACTGCTCTATATTACGGCGAACAGCGCAGTCGGTCGACAGACAGGTCGTTCCAGTTCGACAGATTTAAAAAGTTGAATAATTTGTAATCGGTCGGAGCAGTCGGTCATAGTGTGAAATAGGCCTTACTCGCCGTGAATTTATTGTGAATATTTATTAATTGATATCGGTTGATGACATTCTATTCACTTAAAAGAAGTGTTTCCTATTATATAAATTTTATTTATTAATTTATGTATTCAGGCAAATATAAGTTCAAACTCGACAATTTTAAAACCTGTTTAAAACAGATTGTTGACCCATACGAGAATATTGTAAACTGAGGAAATGACGATAAAAGTAGAACCAGAAAGAAATATTCAGAATTCACATTTAGTGGAGGTGGTGAAAAGTTTTAAGTTCTTTTAAAGAATTGCATACGGATTAAAAAATATCTTGTACAAGAAAATAAAATTTATACAATAGGAAACACTTACTTCTTTTACGTGAATAGACTGTCATCAACCGATATCAATTAATAAATATTCACAATAAATTCACGGCGAGTAAGGCCTATTTCACACTATGACCGACTGCTCCGACCGATTACAAATTATTCAACTTTTTAAATCTGTCGAACTGGAACGACCTGTCTGTCGACCGACTGCGCTGTTCGCCGTAATATAGAGCAGTGCTCTAGACGCTTGTGGAGTCACACAGTTGGCCATAATATGAAAGAGCCCTAAAAAAGAAGGCAAGTAAACTCATTGCTATTATTCGCGTTGTAGCAGTAAACAAGGGGTTACAGTACACTTAAAGTTAATAGAAGTCAACAGGTATTGCGTCACCAACTCACGTCATAGTTTGTAGCTACGAAACCCACGTGATATAAGATAAACAAATATTGTTCCTAGAACCCACCTCGTTTTTATCACTCGTCTGGCAAACACGTTGTTACATCGTCAGTCTTTTTCTAGGTTTTCTCCTTTCATTTAGGGAATTGATGCTATTAAATTTCGATGACTTAAGGTCGTTGAAGTGGAGAGTTAATGGAGTCGTATATATTTCCATTGGGGTGAATGCACTCATAGGGCGCGGTGACACAAACACATTTTCGCCGCACGACTGCACAAGTACCCTACTTACATTTCGGCGTATCCATACAGTATTCAAGATGGCAAACGATACCGACACTTCCGTTATCCACGTGTTTACAAATTTTGTTTCGTACGGCTCGCTTTATTTAACTAGAAGATTTTGAATGACAGATATTTTTTTGGATCGAGAAGAACTGGTGTACAAAATACGCTTATTCCTCGATGAAGATCTGTCGATGAACAATACTATTTCGACTAACATTCGTTTGGATTTTCCTTTAAATTAAATTATATGTCATTATTTTCGTAGAATTTGTGTTAAATTTATTATCTTTTCTTTATTTAATGTCATTCATCTATAAGAAGCTGACTTTTAAGGGAAATAAGTTAATTGCGCGTCAGGAAATGCCTAGAGACTAATCATATGTGGGTTGTGGCGACGAAGGCAGAGACGACAAGTGTGTTACATGTCCCGTTTATTTTAACACCAAAAGCCATTTTAAAACCAGTTTAGCCATTAAAACCCCACGTGATATTATTTTCTCACGTGACTACCAGACGAACCGTTATTGGCTGATAGAAACGCGTCATGGCGGACTTAATGACGACTTTACTCGTAAGTTTTTATAAAACTCATCCTTTAATGTTTTTTTCATTTTATAGTATTTAAAAACATTAAATATGATAAAGTCATATTTGCTAACGCTCATATTATGTATGAGCGTCAGCAAAATTTCAAATGTTGCCGAGAAAGTTGCGTGACTGGTTGCTAGTTTATTCTACTATCGAATTTTCCTTTCGAATGGAGAAAGAGAGAGAGAGTTTACAGAATAACTTAAATATAATATACCTTTAACGTTTAACAATTATTTTTTAAATCGGAGATTTAAAAAATAATTTCTGTTCGTCTTCGAATCTTTTCTTTTTCTTTTTTTTTCCTGTGTGACGGAGGTTTAGGAATTTTAGCAGCTACTCTGTCTTTCACAAATGAGGTCACCCTCACACAGGGAACTGACCTGTGTGAGGGTGACCTCATTTTTAAGCGCAGAACTCCTCCAACCTCTGCGCAAAACAGTCCAACTTCCGACACGTATCGGAAGTTGGACTGTTTGGCGCAGCAGTTTCTAAAGTGAGCGCAACGCCCCCCTGTAAATGGCTAATAAATCTATAAGAGGGTAAAAAGAAACAGGGGCCGCTCGAAGCAAAGTATTGGACGGTGACCGTAGGCAAAGGTTGGGGTCACTGACAATCTTTTTCTTAATTTTTTTAAAACGGGTGTGAAGGACATTGCTTTTAATGATTTCAAGATTTGGAGAACAATACGGTAAGGACACAAGGTGTGAATTTCATAGAAAAGTTTTTCCTAAAAATATTTTCAGGTCTTTCTCACACAAGGAAAAATGAATTAGAGGGCGTTGGTGTACATTAACAAAATAGAAAGTTTTCCTTTAATTTCGTTTTATAAAAATAGAGGAAAATATCGAACAAATATAACAAACTTTTGTTAAAAGTAAATTATAAACCCTGGGTCCTCACATAATATTAATTTTGCATCGAATTTTCTGAATTAATTATACTATTTTTAATTAATTGCAACTGTCGTTTCTTTCCGCATAACTATTAGAAATGATTTTAGTGCTGTTTCGCCCAAAAGATATTCAAATTTATATTCATTTTTATATTTTAGTAGTTTTATTTATTCATTTTATAAATTTACCTGCTTTTTAATTTTTTTAAATTTTATCTTTTAATTATAAGATAGTTCACATTGAACTATCAGGAGGAAATCTACATAGGGACTAATAAAACTAAAGCCCTGGCCCCAAAGTGTCAATGGCGTACAAAAATTGAATTATAATNTGGCCCCAAAGTGTCAAGGGCGTACAAAAATTGAATTATTATAAAAAATTTTAATACGTTTTTATTAACATTTCATAAATATATTTCAACTTTGATTTTGATGTTATTATTAATAAATTTCAATCCTTAATTTAAAAATTCTAATTTGACCAAAAACGGGGTGCTGTTGTAATCGAATAAGCCCTAGGCCCCGAAAAACCTTGATAGGCTTCTGTACCTAGTATAATGTAAACCGGAAAGCTTCTAGATTTTAAGAATATGATTAAATATTTTATTTTTTGTTTCTTACTATAAACATTTATAGGTACGTTTTAAGAACAACACTATTAGCTATATAACAAGTGATATTGTAGCGGAAAAGTGTCACGTGTTCTAGACACGTGCACAACTCCAGTTTCTTCCGTCAACCATGAAAGTGCATCCCTAATTTATTGCTACAACGGGAACAATAGTAATGAGTTTGCTTGTCTTTCCTTATTGTTTGCCCTAAATTTCGAATGAATATTAATTAATTAATTAATTCTTGGATTGAATACAGATTTCTGACATACGAGAATATCGTAAATGGAGAAAATGAAGATAAAACAAGAGTTAGAAACGAAATATTCGGACTTCACAATTGAACGAAACGAAGAAAAATTTGAAGTTGATTTAAAGAATTTCAAGAAAAAATTTAATACAGATGTGAAGTGTTATAAAACAATTAAATCAGAACCATTACAGGTGAGTGAAAAATATTTTATCTTAAGATCGTAGTGCTGCTTTAAGGACGAAAAAAAACAAGTGAGAAATAGAAAAAATATTTCTTAAAACAGTATATAATGGTTCCACGAACTTTAAACTAAGCTACGTTATTTTCGATTTCAACTAACAGTCATTTCGGCTTTTTACAATGAAATTTGACGTTTTAACCACGGTGTTCGTTCTAAAAAGGTTAATTTTTTTTTACTGACGGAATTTTGTGGTCCGACTGTCTTTAAAATTTTTTATATTGTTGTGTATACTTTAAGATGACTGGCAATTACCTGTTCCTATTATATGAAGTCACGTTGTCGTATATTTTGCTAAATATCGTAGGACATGGTGAAGATAAAGGAACGATATTCCGCAAGACAGTTTGTATATAAGGGGCATTGATGCTATTAACATTTAGTTGTGAAAGGTCAAGAGGATGAACAGATAAGAGAGTGGTCACGTGCACTGGCGCGCGGTGACACCTGATGATAGAAAAGCTGTGCCGACCCTAGATAGAATCATTGGAAGCGTTATACAACATTTTGGTGTGTAGCATCCACCAGCTCAACCGCGAGGTTGGTACTATGTGCGCATGCCCTTAATCTAGCTGCTTTACACCATTCAAATACTTTTTTCATGGAAGCTGTCCTGTATTCGACAATACGGCGCTTCCATTGGGAATAAGCATATACGAATTTATATTCGAATCTTATCATTTTTTCCAAATGTAGTTTAAAAATTCGTACTAAAATACTTAATGTGGTTATAATAAAATATCAATTATAATTAATTCAAAGTTAAAATATGAAAATAATCGCACTAGTTTATATTTTAGAAAACACAAAGAAAGAGGCGCTTCTACAGCTTCCATAGACGGCTAGACACTGGTCACGTGTCATATCCTTCCAGAGATCAGACTTAATGAAGATTTTACGTGTTACCATTTACAATGTTTTATAAACTTATCTCTATCCTAAAAATTAAGTCTATTGCTATTTTCTACTAATTAAACATATGTAAATTTTTTCAACATCTCTTAACACATGGCCATACATGTAATTCTATATATTTATTACGCTTAATAATTAGAAAGTGGTTTTCAAAATAAAATCTCATAACAGCCGGGAAAGTGACGCAACTCTTTGCTAGATTTTTTATTTCTTCGGGATCAGTAACTATAATTGTACAGTAACTATACTCTTGCTTAGACAAGTTACGCGTTATTCAGAGAAATTTTGTAGTTTGATTGAAAGTAGCTGCTATTGCTTCATTTCATGCTTAATTCTACATAATATTTTGAACGCATCTACTTTTGTACCTATAAATTTATATTTCAGGTTTGTGTAGTTTGAGTTTAGTGTATTATATTTGTAGAATCAATGATATTTAAGCTGTAAGATATGAAAATGTGTTGGAGACTTTTAACTCCAATCAGGCCTAAGCAGTAGTAGAATTCGACTCGCGATCTTTCTGATTTTCGACCAATTGCTTTGGAGATTGACAGTGATCGAGAGATTAATTATCTCAAAATAAGAAACATGAAGTTATCTCTCATCGAAAAAATCTAGAAACGAGTTGCGTAACTTTTCCGGCAAAAATCTTCAAAATTGTTTGTGGCATAATCTGTTAGGAAATTTTATTTAAAAACCTGTTTATATTATTAGTCATAATAAAATGGCAAAACCTTCATATTTTTAAACATTTTTTTGGGATTCAGGAAGTCTTAAAACGTGGAGTTTTCCAAAAGCTGAGGGTCAAATTTGACACGATTTTTATGCTTTCGCTTCTTATACGCATTAGAAGATCCGAAATTAACTTATTACAATTGCGAAAAGGAAAAGTCAATCAACGAGAAGATATTTATTGTGACATTTTCACAATGCCGGGCTGCAATTTTTCATTATACTATTATTTTATTTAACTTAAATTATATATGCTCTTCATCTGAAATAAGTAGTGTATATTATTAAACTTGGCCGTGTACATTATAAATTTCCTGTTAGTAATAGTGTCGTGACGTTTACGTATCTAACTTCTTTCAGAGGAAACTTTCTGAATCTAACTTCCGATGTGTATAGGAAGATCTTGCATAGTGAATCGATTAAATGTTCGACATGTGGTCTAGGCATACACCTATCGATCTATCTGTTGTCGAAATTAAGAAAAGACTGTCAAACAGTCGTACAGACTATGGAAAGTGGAAATTTATAAGTCTATTTTCGAATTGCTGTCCGATTCTTAATTAATAAACTATTGTTTACATATTCACATAGTATCATATGTTTTTAATTGGGCAGGAGGTTCCGATAAATTGTATACATACCTTTGCTAAAAAGAGGAATTCATGTTGTTTGAATTCAAAATTTTCGTTTGAAAGGTATTAAATAGATGACAAGCATTACTATTAAAAGAAAAGTAGTTAGTAAGCCATATTTTTAAAAAAATTATTTAGTAAGTGTATTTTTATGCTTTAGTTTAAATACTTTTTTTATTTGTTTTTCTATAAAGATCAACCAGTCTTTTAATATAACGTAATTATTTATTATTTCAGATAAATATTAAAGGTAAACCAATTTCCACAAACAATACAAACGGATCCACTATTTGGAGTCATTCTGGTTATAAAATCGAAAGAGGTAAGTCTTAATACTTTTAATATAATGAATGTAGCCTATATTCCTACTGATAAAAATAACACGTAATACAGAAATTTATATTCATATAAATGGAAATGATAACATTTGAAAAATGTTGCGAGTACGTCTTGTATAGTGAATAAGGATTTAAATAGAATTTAATATTATCAATAACATTTAATCCAGTTGACACATTTAAAATTGTCAATTCAATTGATCAGAATTTTACAATAGAAAAAACTCAAATTTAGATATTTTAGATTTTAATGAAACGAGCAATTATTTATTATGGCATCGTCACAATGCCGAGCTGCAAATGTTAATCACATTTTTAATGTATTTAATTTAAAATATATGTTCTTCATCTCAGATGAATAGTGGCTTGCCTCTTTACATTATATTTTTCCTTTGACAATGGAGTTGTGCCGGTCATTTATTAACTGTTTTCGGGAGAATAGTTTTTAATTGTACTAACGTGATTTTCGATCTTCACCAAAAGTTCGTACACAGTTAATCGATGTCTCGTTCTCCAATTCTTTCCGTATTATCTGATCTCGGATTTCATCTTCATCCGTTCTCGAGATTAAGAAAGGACTGACACACAGACAAACGACAGTGAGAATTTATAGGTCTCTAATTTTTTCATTTTACAGCCCAATTATATGATTAAATTAGAAACTTCTCAAAAACGTTCCTGGACTGAAGAAAGCTTTCAGCTAGTTGTAGAGCACGTTCGAACAGGAGGGAACTTAACAATACTTATACCGTGCTGTTACACTTACTATAAACTATTTCGTACAACTATGAAATAAATTTACTTTAGTTAAAGATATTCGAAAATTAATTTTATGCAATTATACTTGTTTTCTTATCACAATCCTTTAGGCATTTCACCGAAATACTCGGGGTGAGATGTATGAAATGTCAGACAGTGAAAAAGTCGTCATTGCAAACAGAATACATAATTATTTTTGATATACAGTACTTTAAAGTTTCATTTGAAAACATCTCAAGAATATGATATTTTCGTTAGAAGCTCCAAAACCAAATTATCGCGATAGTTTCTTTCATAAGCAAAATGTTAGACATCTCCCCACAATAATAAGCGTAGAGTCCAAACAATTAAGATGTGGGGCCGAGGGGGAAAGAAATAAAAAAAAAAACTAAGTTGACGATAATAGATGAAATATATCGTCATCGTCTCCCTTGCCGTTTGGATTGCCGAGCGGTAACAATCAACGACATGTGGAAGCAGTTGAGTCAGATATAGATGCTTTGTTTACAAACAACACAACCGTTTATTAAACACAAAAGGAGCTTACAAGATTTCCGCGATCTTGGAAGTTCAACATCGGCTGCGGTCTCTGGGTCTTCCTCTCCTTTCCAAGATAGTCCCATTTTGAAAAAGTGTCCCTTGTTCGTGAATGAACAATTCCATCACGTCTCGACGACTCCGGGACGATGCGGTCGACTTCCGTTGATGGAAAGTTGTCGATCCGAGGTCGGGAGATGGAGACGATGATTGGTGCGAGACACACACACAACAATAGATTTGTCACTTAGAACTTTCGGGAGAAGAAGCCGTCGGTCGCGTCCTTGAATTTCCGGGGTTTTATCCGTTTTCTCTCAGATTCTCCTACCGATTGGTCTCTCCTCTTCACCTGATGACAATTCGAAGCCTTTCGGGGGCGCGGGAGAGGTCAAAATCGAAGTTTAATTCGATCTCCAACCGGAGATGGTCGACAGACTTACATTCTTCTATTGTTTAAAATTCTTCTATTGTCTAGCGTCGCGTTTTCATATCAAAAGTCTATTTCTAACTGCTATATTTTTTTCTTTAAAACAAAATTATTTTAACGCGAATTTTAGTGAGGGTTTTGACCTCTCAAGAGCCTCACAAGGAGTTGAAAGTTGAAACTTGGTACAGAGTTAGGGTACGTCACGAGAGTGTACACTAAAAAGGGATTTTTCGAAATTTTTTTTCGCGGGGGAGTGAGAGAGGATTAAGTCTTATCCTAAAAAATTTAAACTACCACTGTACTATTTTAAATGCGGATTTTTTTGTTTATCCTGCGTTTTAATAAGGCATGCCACTACAATGCACATTAAGAGCTTTAAGAAATTAAGAAATTTAAATATCGTTATTCCGGTATGATAAGCAGATATCTAAACATTATCTAATTAATTTCGGAAGGGGGAGAACCTAATTCTTGCAACCGTTGAAAAAGGGGAAGATTGGCTATAATGTATTGATAATAATCTTTGCTATCGTTACTTTTTGCCCAAGCAACGCCGGGCTCGTCTGCTAGTCTATAAATAAAACTCATTTCTACTTTCAAAATTCAGCCTTTCGCCATTTTAAAATAATAATATAAAACGACTTTTTACGTAAAATCTCACAATAAATGGCCTCATAACCAATTGTAACATTTTTTCTGATAAATTCCGTAACTCTGCCAGATTTTGTTACTTTTCAAATCAAACTCAAAGTAATTATGTGCATTACACATTTTTTATTACTTATGAGTACCGGTACAACAGTGCAAATAAATTAATCATCGTTAACGAACTCGAAACATAAACATATCATTCATTAGCTCCATCCAAATTATTTTTTTATTTTAGTTATTAAGTACCTGTACATATAATATTAATTTAAGAGTAAGCAAAGCATCCTGAAACCATATCTAATTGAATAGAGACTGTATTAATCACGCAGTAAATGCTATCTGTTGATCTATGTACTAAACAATATGTGTTTCTAAGGAATGTTAAAATATTTCTTCACAGGATATTTCTTCACCCAGAATACACGTGAAAATAAATCTATGTACACTTAGTTTATACTTAAGCAAAAAAAGTTTTTATTGCATATACATTTATATATTATATATGAAACTAACTGTAACGGAGTGACACGCAGATACGTAACGCACTATACAATACATCGTACGTAAAGTTATCAACGTCGACAAATAGAATTTTCTAAGATAGTTTTTGCTAATCGAGGTCAGAATGTCCAGAAATGGGAAAACACTAGAATATCGAACTTTGATTAACATAACTTTTTTGTGATATTTTACAACATATACGAGAATAAATTGTGAAATGTAATAATTGTGCATTTCTAATTGAAAATTTTTAAATCCGTAATTATTTAACTCTTTAACTAAGTTTTTCTTTCTCGGCTGTTATATATAACAGAAGGGAAATCTGTCAAAAAATAATTCCCTTAAACATTTTCATTTTTAAAGTTAAGATAGCTTAAAACGTCGAGAAAAAAAAATGGTAATTTCTTGTATGCATAAATGTCAGGGTGTGTGGAGAAGCAAAATGATTTTCTCCAAGCTTTTTAAAGTTTAATAATTAGAGTGCTTTTTTTCGAAAATTTCTTAAATTTAGAAGGAAAGTTTGTTTATTAACGGGATTGATGCTTTTAAGTTTTTGGGATTAAAGTTCGAGGGGTTAAAGAGATAATGCGGGTCGTGTCTATATTCAGTAGGGTTGGACATAATAACGAGTTTACTCATTTTCTCATTTACAACTTTTTTTAAGTCATCTTTATCCGCAAAATCAAGCTTTTTTTTATTGTATAATAGTTAAAAATTATAAAATATTTTAAACAAAATATCATAAGAGATGGCACCAAACGTAATTTTAAATGTNCTTTTTTTAAGTCATCTTTATCCGCAAAATCAAGCTTTTTTTTATTGTATAATAGTTAAAAATTATAAAATATTTTAAACAAAATATCATAAGAGATGGCACCAAACGTAATTTTAAATGTATCTGGAAAAGTTAAGCACTCATTGCTGGTTTATTTCATAAGAAAAAAAGTTTCTAATTATATTTATTATAATTTGTCTCACACATACTTCAATTCGCCATGACTCATAGCTACTTTTCGACTTGTAATCAGAAATAAATGATGTAGTGAAATATAGAATTAAATATTGTTATGTTAATTAATGAGAATGTACTCGGTTTTATTTTATATTTCAAGTTTTTCTTAGAATTCTTTAACACAAAAACTTTGTAAATTCCACTTCAGATATCAAGAAAGAAGAAGTAAAAAGAAACTGTGATGTAAAACATGGTATAAAAACAGAATGTAAAGTTGTTTTGAAAAAATTGAAATTTGAATTAAAGACTGAAGATTGTAAAGAAGTTGTTCATCTTCCAGATGATAATGAACAGGTAATGGTGAGTAATACAAATTACCGTGAGATTTTAATTTTAACTTAACTTTCTGCATGTTTGAAAACATAGCTCAATATCACTAATATAAAATTATGCTTTGAATGAAGGTGTATTCTATATTAAATAAAAAATATGTATTATATAAGAAAAAAATTTAACAACGAGTTGGGTAAGTTTCCTGGCTGTTAAAAAATTTTATTTAAAAAATAACATTTATACAGTATTACTAATGTTAATAAAAAAGTAAAATTGTCTATGGCGCCATATGTTATAAAAACTCTCTATAATTTTAATTATTATAAAGTGAAGAAATGTGTAATTTTAATGGTAGAAATTAATTTCACGAAAAATTATAAATGTAACCACAAATAAAATATTCATTATGTTCGACACTACTGGAGATTTTGCATGTTACCATTTTTTATCTCTTTATCCCTCGACGTTTCTTTACAAAAATTTAATGCGCCTTATACACAACGTACGGTAAAAATTTCGTTTTTTTAACTCCTGTCAACTATACGGAATTATCGCAAAAACATACCAGTAAATTCTTATCGGTTGGGTTAAGTTATAAATCTACTCGTAATCGAAATATCTAGTGGGCAGGCGGCTAACAGCCCAAAACCAGTCCCGGATAGAATTGGAAGCGTTATATGTGTAGCATCAACCCAAGGTCGTAGGCTTCCACCGGCTAAACCGGGTGAGGTTGGTGCTCTGTAAAGCGCATACGCAAATCTCGCTTTTCGTAATCTAAAAATACAGGAGATTCCACTCCGCCACTAATATTCTAATACATAATAGCAATTTTTTTCCACGTGTAGTATAGAAATTTGTAATAAGACACATAATGCGGTTATAATAAAATATTGTGCGATTATTTTCATATAATTAAAATTAATATTTATTTATTTTTTAGAGAATACGATGGAAGCGGCGCTTCCAACGCTTCTAATGACGGCACGCCACTGCTCGCGTGATATTTTTTTACGCGAAAGACTAAACAATTTCTACATAAATTACACAAGATGATTAATTAATTCTAATGAAAATTTTCAATATGTATATATCAAATTATAGGTATTAAATCATCATCTGTGTAGTGACTTTCATATTACTTTTCCGGCTGCTATATAGGCCCATAACACAGGAAAAGTGTGACGATTGTTCAAAAATTGAACCCCTAAGATTTAAGGTGTCCACCTTAAAACGTCGAAAAATGCAAAAAATCCGTGGGCTTTTTCTGTATGTATGGATGTCAGTATATGTGCTTGTGTGTGTTTATGTGGAGCACGATGTTTTTTCACTCTGTTTGAAGATTAATAACTCCTGTGCTTTATGTCGAAAATTTCTGAAATTTATCAGGGAAGATTGGGTTATTAAGGGAATTGAGGCTATTAAATTTTTGTGACAAAGTCGAGGGAGCGTGGATATGGACGGATAGGATTCGTGTGTATCTCCAGTAGGGTCGGATTTAATGACTATTTTACTGATTATTACTGATTTTACTGATTTATAATCATTTAAAATATCATAATTCATTTAAAAAACGTTTTATAAAAATGGCGCCACCAAAATTTTAAATGTTGCTAGGAAAGTTAAGCAACTCGTTACTGGTTTATACGTCATAAGTGATTATTAGTACTGTAGTTGTCATGTATTGCTTTTATATTGTTTAGCCTGTCAACAATGAATTCTTCACTCCGGACGAAAACTTTAACAGGAATGAAATGAATATTCAAAGTAAGTAATATGTTACTTAGTTCAGACTTTATATTTGTATTATTTAGCAAGCAGCTGATGAAATGCATTCAAGTTTCAACTGTCATACATTTAGCTGAGATTAGATATTTGAGAGTTAATGATATAAGTAAGTAAATATTTGCGACGTGTTAGTAAATCTTAAAATCAATGTACAGATTTACTGAACACACGCTCAAATTATCGTATTCTGATTCAGAAAATCCGCCGACTTTTTCTCTTTTCTCAAAATCCGTAATCTTTTGTTATGTGGTTTCTATTCTTTTACACTTATGATTTTCCCCTCTCTCTAAAAGCACACGATTTCTGCCCGTTTTTACGAATCCCACTTGAAAAACAACTAAATAAATAATATAATTAAAAACAGATATATTGGAAAATGTAATTTTTCACATTCATTTGGGCTCACCAGTGGCCAAGCGGTTCCATTCCCTGAATATCGGGAGTTCGGTCGTGGGTACGCGCTTCGCCAGGTCCCTTAGTCTCGAGTATTTCGTGTTACATCGCGCAACGCGTTGAAGATGTCACATGGTACCATCTCTCACTCTGACGTCAAATTAGTAACCTCGAGTTAAATGAAAAACATAGGTATACTATACGTATTATACCAATTATATAATTTAAGCGCTAATATTTTAATATTGAAGCTATATTGTGTTCATTGAAATATCATCGATATTTCATTATGTCATTTTTTAAACTTTCAGTTGAGGAGGAAGAGCAAAATCAGGAATACGATATTCAGCAAAATTCAGAAAAACAAAAACATTTTAAATGTAATATCAAAACAAAGATATACGTTCCTTCGACTAGAAAACGCAATACAATTCATGATATAATTAAAAGAAAATACTTCAAGATTTTGTTTTCATCTTATTCTAAACAGGAATTTACGTGTGATTTATGTAAAAAGACTTTTACAAATAAGAGAATATTAGAAACACATCTGTTCTGTCATATTAGAAAAAAACCATTTCGCTGCACAACGTGCAATAAGAGGTTTTGCTGGCAATTTCTTTTGCGAAGACACATAAAAGAGCACAATACTGGAAATGAAAACGAAATCTCTCTTAGGAATTTACTTTTGCAGCCATCTAGGAATGAAATGAAGTCATCTCCAAGAAATGGTAAAGTTCATGCCTGCAAGATATGTGGAAAAGAATGTAAGCTTAAAAACAGTTTGTTACGTCATAAACTAACGCATAGTGAAGATCGTCCTTTCAAATGCGATATTTGCAATAAGAGTTTTAAATGTAAAAATCAGGTGAAAAAGCATCAGAAAACTCATAGTGATGAACGTAACTATTCTTGTGAAATATGTAACAAATATTTTAAAACAAAACAGTATTTGCGACAGCATAAACGTATTCATAGTAAAAAATCTAATATCAAACAGGAAAACGTGTATTGCGACATTTGTGGTAAGCGCGTTCCATATGGTAAGGGCCGTTTAGAGATACACAAGAGAATACACAAAACTTATGCCTGCAAAATATGTGGAAAAGATTTTAAGTGGAAATATATGTTGTTGCAACATCAACGAACGCATAGTGAAGACCGTCCTTTCAAATGCGATATTTGTAATATGAGCTTTAAATGGAAAGACCAAGTAAAAACTCATAAAAAAATCCATAGTGAAGAACGTCCTTTCAAATGCGATATTTGTAATAAAGCTTTCAAATGGGTAGGCCTATTAAAAAGGCATGAAAAAACACATANTATTTGTAATATGAGCTTTAAATGGAAAGACCAAGTAAAAACTCATAAAAAAATCCATAGTGAAGAACGTCCTTTCAAATGCGATATTTGTAATAAAGCTTTCAAATGGGTAGGCCTATTAAAAAGGCATGAAAAAACACATAGTGAAGAACGTCCTTTCAAATGCAATATTTGTAATAAGAGTTTTAAATGGGAATACCAACTAAAAAGCCATAACGAGACTCATACCGATGAACGTAACTATTATTGTCAGGTTTGTAACAGTTGTTTTAAAACAAAAAATCATTTAACAACTCATAAAAAAGTTCATAATAATGAATTTAACCATACTTGTCACATATGTAACAAAAGTTTTAATCGAAGTGTTTATTTAAAACAACATATTAATATACACAGCGATGAATACAAATATTCTTGTGACATATGTAACAAACATTTTAAAACAAAACACTATTTGGAAAGACATAAAGTAGTTCATAGTAATCAATTTGATTTTACTTGTCAGGTATGTAATAGAAGTTTTAAACGCAATTTTGATTTAAAACAGCATATTCGTAAGTACAGCAATAAATGCAAATATTCTTGTCATATGTGTAACAGATATTTTAAGACAAAACATTTATTGGAACAGCATAACATTATTCATAGCGATACAAAAAAGTATGTTTGTGACATATGTAAAAAAGATTACACCAATACAACTGCCTTAACCAGACATTGTCTCACTAAACATGAGAATATGTATGTATGCTATATTTGTAACAAGCCATTCAAGAGTGAAACTGCGCTAAAAGAACATTCGAAAATTCACATTGAAAAGTGTAATATTTGTAATAAAGAATTTGCAAGTAAACGCCACTTAATCAATCACCAAAAAATTCATTAAAACATAAAACAGTTTTGTTGTGACAAATGCAATACACTTTTTATCAATAATCATGTATTAATTAAAATGTCACGAAGACAATCACAAAAGAGACAATCTTCGTTACGTTTGTGAAGTATATTACAGTCGACCCCCTATAACACAATAGATACGTTTCGTTCTTTATGAATCCATTTTGTACGAGTCTTGCCAATCACAGCCCGACACGTGTGAAGTTTACAAACTACGGCTGTTTGAAAGGTTTTCTTCCATAAAATTAATCGATTTTAGAATAATTCGACTCAACATTTTTAAAATATGTATAATTTTTTGGGAATAATCCGTATAAACTATGCTATAAACAAAAAATTGTAGGATTACTTACCGAGTGTGCACCGTTCGACGTCGCCGTTGCTCAAGCTTGTTTTCGTCGCGGAGCAGCGCACCAAACGGCGGGCGATTTCTGATAAGTTAATTTTCTGCGAAAACTTCGTTGAACTTTGGAGACATCATTAATATAAACAATCTTTATGGCCGTTGAATAAGAAATGTTTCTTTTACAAGAAATGTATAAAATTACAGTACTGTATGACTTACGTTACCTAATTTACATCCTGTACAGACGATAGTAAACTCAATTTACCCGCCTAAACTCTCCGTAGCGTGGCGCTGGACGGCAGAAAGTAGTTCGGCTGCCCGATGACGTTTTACCGAATTATAGGAGATATTTTTATCATGTTTGTACGGATACCGTCGCAATTTTTTTGCCGTCTTATAGGAATCCGAACTATAGGAACCCGTGTTATAGGGGTCTACTGTACAAGAGATTTTATTTTAAAAGTCGTTTATTGAGCATTAACTCGTTCATCAGAACTAAGCGTATTTTTGTAGAAACTGTAAAAGCAGATTTTAAACAGAAACTAAATTGAAATTACATTTAAAATTTTTTTGTTTAGAAAGAAACCCCAAACAATTACCTAATCAATGTAATATATTTGAACAGCTTTTTACGTGTGGGAAAGTTTAATAATGAGATTCATTCTTACTGTGACATTTGTAAATAGAAATTTACAACAGAAATCGAATCCAAACTCATCAAGAATATGTTCATCCCACAAAAGATAAATAGCAATGCAAAATGTAAGAAGGCATTTAGAAAACGGATTGGATCAATTGGGCACATGAAAACAAATCCCAATTTACGCGTTAAGAAATGAGATATTTGTGTAAAAAATTCTCTTCAAATTACATTTTAAATATTCACGTGCGAAGTCATATTTCACAATGGAGTTGTTCTTGTGAAATGGTTGTTCTGTTGGAAATGGTAAAGATACTTAACATTATGAACAAAGTCGTATAAAGGAAAATAAATGTATTGTGTATGTTATCTTTGAAGAAAGATGTCAAGCTTTTAATTAAGCATTTTTGGCAAATAATGAATAATTTGTGAATAATAAAATATTGTAACAAATAGTCTATACTACTTGTTACTTTATTTTTTCTTGTTTCTTCTTAATTGGTTTATTACAGTATTAAAATAAATATATTTATTTGATCAAACGTTATTTCTTTCTCTTTCATATTTTAGTTACAAATATCTGTGATTAGGAATAATATAAATCTAAAAAAATAAATTTAACAAAACATATTTGAGGTGAGGTAGTAGACAAGATTACATGGCGGTGTCCTGTAACCGAGTTTATCACGGTTCTGCATTCTGGTTGGTTCAAACTTATCACGTGATATTAAAATCGTTCATATATGGGCCCGATGGCCGAGCGGTCGATGTTGTAATATACGGCCTTGAGGAACCCGAAATCGAATCTGGACGAGTCGAAATAATCCAGGAATATTTCGGTATTTGATCTTATCGGGTATGTCGATTTCTTTTTTTTCATTACCCGGCTGCCCTATTGTGGGCTTGACGGAACTTATAATGGGCTTGCAAAAAGAGGTCCTCTTAATGCTCACAAATTTGAAAGAGTTTTAAAAAATCCATAACATAAATCGCGTAGGGGAAAAGTCGGCACCTTTCTTTGTACAGCCATTTTTAGATTTATATTTACGAAAATATACCCACGGAACCGCAAGTCAGCATTTTGTATAAAAAAATTACTTTTTTTTTAAATGAAAGCAGGAAATCATCGTTCCTCTGGAAAATCACTTTATTGTGTAAAAGAAAATCAAAATATTGGTTATTGAAGACTTCGTGAAGAAGTTCACAAAATTGCCGATGATAAAGTGATTTAATTATTATTTTGTTCACAATTTGTATAACCAGGATCGAAACTAATGTTACTGTTTTTCATAATATTGTCCATAAATAATGTTATTACTTGTTTCGGAAAGGTTTGTGAACAAACAACATTTCGATGATTTCAATGTATGACATAGCGATGCTTCTTGGAGACCCTAATGCTAAAATAGACAGAGTGGTGCTTCCAACCCACTATAGGAAAGGAGACCCTGCATAAGACAGCCAATGATAATAGAGAGCGACTTGTCAACTTAGCCAGCGCTAGAAATCTAATAGAGTAGAGTTTCGAAAACTCGGCCTAATGTGGACCGAAGGGTAGCCGAGTTTGTGAAAATGCCGAGTTATCGGGAATGGGGTTAAAAAAGGATAAGTATGCGTTTTCCTCAGAAAATATTGTACTGTACTTGTATGTATTGTTTGCTTGAGAATACAACAGACAATAAACTGCCCAAATATCCTTAAACAAAGGAAAAGTACGTCCTTTATGAAGGCATAGAGCCTTTACTACATAAAATGAAAATTAATGAATTTACTTGATAAGACAGACCTCAGAAAAATACTCTATGAGACATAAAGCTGTCTATGATGAAAATTAATTATTTAAGGGTATTTTTGCCCTGCCAGTGTGTGGCCGAGTTATCTGGAGTGCCGGGTTAGCGAGTGTCGAGTTTTCGAGGCTCTACTGTAATCCATAGTACTAATTTCCCTAGAAAAGACATTCACAAACAAACATGGATATTTCCAGATGGCAAAGCTAGGAACCAAATAGAACATATACTCGTTAACTGGAGATACCGTAATAGCATAAAAACACAGTCTCAGATGAGCAGAAGTAGGAATAGATAACTTCCTGTTGAGAGCCAGTATGAAAGTAAAACTCCATGTAATGACGAAGGACAAGCAAAACCATCGTTATTCATACGATGTACATAAACTCAAAGATAATGACAATAGGCCAGAAAGAAATACCAGAAAGAAATAGGAAAAGTTTTAGAATTGAATACGATAAAAGAGATGGAAATGGACTAATCCAGGAAAGAATGTGCACATCCATCTTAGAAATAATCATAAAAACCTTAACTAGAGAATACAGACAAAAAAAAAAAAAACATGGTTTAACAGCATATGTGAAGAAGTGGTAAATAAAAAAAAAAGTAAGAATGAATTGGCGGGACAACCTAGAAGACCTACACATCAAAAACGAATAAGATGAGGCATGAAAACATTCTAAGAAGACTATTAGACAGCAGAAAAGGAAATTTCTGCTGTCTAATAGCAGAATTTTAAAGAGACAATCATTTGCAAGCAAGAGAAAACGTCATCTCGAAAAACAAAATGACCGCTACCGATTTTCCGTCGTTAACCGTGTTTATTTATTTATTCAGAAAGAAATATACGTCAAAAAGAAAACGATGCTGGGTGAGAAAAATATTAAAAATCCGTAATTATAACATTTTCTCTATTGCGTGAGAAAGTTTCCGTAGCCATCTTGAAAATAACAAGAACTACGTGACAACTAATAGGAATACGATTGGCGGCGATCGTATTCCTATTAGCCAAAAATGCTGAACAGTTTCGAACTTCAAAGCGATTCGCAAAATCGTAAAATTCGTTGGAAACGACGTCATATCTGACGTGTTATTCGCTCTGTTTTTCGCGTTCTCTAGCGAATCACGCTTAATGTGAACTAAGCTTAACTCAATACGTCACGTGTAAATTTCACAATTAAAAATTTATATAGTGAAAGTGAGCAAATTTAGAACGAAATTAATGCAGTGTTAAATGAGAAACACGCGGTAGAAACCGGTTTATTAAAATTAAAAAATAAATGGTTTATATTTCGATTTATTTTTCTTCGAAGTTAGTAGTAAATCACACAATTACAAATACGTATTAAGTTTGCCCGTGTTGGACAGACATCTCGCTTCTCTCGCCCATACACTCAACACTGTGAACTTTGACATTGTATGTTTCCGGTTACAGGTCGATCTTTTGTCTAAATTAAATACACATTAAGTAGTTATTTAAAAGTTATCTATTTTTTATTAATAATTACAAATAAACAAACAAAAAGTTTACAAAAAACATCTTAGAACTTTTAAAAGTTATGTCATTAAAAATTGATTTCATAAAGAATTCAACATTTGTTATTACAATAACTGATTGATTCTATTTTGAATATCTTGTTGGGTTACAATTTAAAAATCTGTAGACCTGTAAATTTCCACTGTCTGTCTTTCGTTAATCTCGAGAACGGAGATGTATGGATGAAATTCGAGAAACGACCTCAGACTTGGAAATCGTACAGTCCGAAGACAATGGTTAAGTATGTAACAACAACTGATGTAAACCGAATTTTTCATCATATTTTTAATTTATTTAATTTTAAATAGTCTATTTTCAATTTCAAATTAGTAGTGGCTTACTCCTGTACTTTTCTGCTAGCAATAGAATCTTGCCGTCATGTGGCTAACTATTTTCAGCGGAAACTGTTAATTAAAATAACGTGCTTCCGTCGCAATCTGGAACTGTCCATTGGTTAATCTAAGCCTATCTTGTCACGACTTCTATCTATCTTATTCGTTCTCGAGATTAAGCAAATACAGACACACTGAAAATCAGTGGAAAATAGATTAACAGTTTTTTTTTCAAATTGCAGGAAATTATTACGAACAAAATAACAGCCGCAGAAGCAATCAAAAAATCTAAACATTTCAACCTATTCTCCTGTATAATATATTTCCTATATTAGTAAAACAAATACGTATTTCACACAGAAAATTCTATTCTAAAAGATGGCTTTCCACGTGAAGTTTTAAATTAATAAACGAACAGAATTTCTTACCACAAACATCACATTTCTTAACGCCTGAATCGGTATTTATTTTCATATGTCTATTTAAATTAATTTCCTTCCGAAATGTCTTACTGCAAATTTGGCATTTATACTTTCCTCTCGGAGGATGAGCATTCTTTTGATGAGTTTGGAATTCGACTTTCGACGTATATTTCCTCTTACAAACGTCGCAACAGAAGTGTATTTGATTCTTGTAAGCGAGTAGATGTTGCTCCAAATCATAACTATTTACGTAAGTCCGTTTACAGACATTACATTGGTAAGGTAATTGTTTGGGGTGTATTTCTGAACAAGAAAATTGTAAATGCAGTTTCAGTTTAATTTCTGTTTTATATCTGCCTTTACAATGGATGCAAAAATGCTCTTTCTTTTCATGAACAGGTCGGTGCCTTAAGAAGTGAGATTTCTGGTAAAAACCCTTCTTACATACCTCACAAACGTAACGAAGATTGTCTTTATTGTGAGAACTTTGGTGACGTTTCAACGTAGAATTTGATATAAAACGTCTATTACACACCTTACAAAGATACGGTTTTATGTCATGATGAGTTCTCTGATGACGGATTAAAGAGGTTTTAGACAATAACTCCTTTTTACAGATATTACATTTTTCAATATGAGTTTTCAAATGAGCTTTCAGCATATTTTTAGTTTTAAATGATTTACTACAATATCCGCAAACAAACATATTTTGATGTTGAACAATGCGATGTCTGTCAACACTGCTTTTGCATGCAAATCCTGTTTTACATACGTCACAAAAATACTTATCACTTCTATCTTCGTGAGTTCTTTTATGTTGTCTCAAATAACGTTTTGTTTTAAAATACTTGTTACATATCTGACAACAGTACTTGTGTTCATCGGTATGTATAGCAACGTGCTCTCTTAAATGCACCTGTGATTTAAAACTTCTGTTACATATCTGACAAGAATAATTTAAGTTTTTATTATGAGTGATTTTATGATTCCTCAAAGAGCATTTTGTTTTAAAAGTTTTGTTACACACCTCACAAGAATACTTACATTGATCACTGTGAGTTTCATCATGCCTTTTTAAATGGGCTTTCGTTTTAAAGCCCTTTTCACATATATCGCATTTGAAAGGTCGATCTTCACTATGACTACGCTGGTGTTGTCTCAATGAAGGTCTCGTTTGAAATTCTTTTTTACATATCTTACAGCAATGAGATACTGGTTGGAGTGTTCTGTCATGACTTTCCAATTGGCCCTTTGTATTATGTAGCTTATCGGAAATGTCACATCGAATGGGTTTCTGTGTAGATTCTTTACGATTTTGTGATAATGAGCATAAACGAACTTTTGTACGATCCATTTTCCTTTGTTTTTCGGTGATGTGTTCTTTCATGTGTCTTCTCAATAGAAATTGCCAGGAAAATTTTTGATTGCAGGTTGTGCAGCTAAATGGTTTTTTTCCGATATGAAAGTTCAAATGCGCTTGTAGTATTTCCTTGTTTACAAAAGTCTGTTTACATAAATCACATTTGTGATTTTGTTTCGAGTGAGATGAACGCGTTACTCTGAAGTATTTCTTTTTAATATTTCCTTGAATTTTGTTGTTGTATTTTTTAATTGACGGGACGAATTTCGTCTTGTTTGCATTACACTTATTCTTCTTTTGTGTTTTCGAATTGTGTTGAATATCGTATTCTTCACAATCTTCGTACTCCTTAACTGAAATAAAAAAGTTAAATACTATAAGTATTTAATTTATTTTAAATTAAAACACAATATTTGTTATCTACTTACAAGGTTTTCTTTATATTATATTATTATTTACCAATTTTATAGATTAATAATTAATGATATAATATAAAGTTAATAGCTTAATTTTTGTTTCTTTGTAGAATCGATTACTGCTGAATTGAGCCTTTATTGGAATTCTAAATAAGTTTTATAATTTAATACTTGTGATAAATTTTCGTAGTAACTCTTGTGATTCAATGAAAAAAACAAACATTTCTTCATTTTGTTCTGTGCGTTTACTTTCCTGATTGGTGCATATAACAACCTGCATGGCGATCGTTTATAAATATGACGGCCTAAAATTTTTACATTTTTGGGCTGAGGTCCTTTAGTTAAAAAATGTAAAAATTTCATTGGGCAGCCATTGTATAGGCAGATTTAAACCAAAAATTAAAATTTAAAAATGCCTTAGAGTGGCTTCTCTAAGACATTTTAAAAATTCTTTAAATTATGTACAATAGAGGAATAAATAATTTTTAAAATGTATTAGATTGGTCACTTGGTGTGATAAACCCAAACCACTGTAGTTACATAAATCAAATACTATAATATTACAAACATTAAAACGAAAACCATATAAAGGGTTTGGTTATTTCAGCCTACCAATATGACGTTTATCGCCATACTCGGACAGTACGAAATGGCACAATTCAAAGTAATCAAAAAGTTTAAAATATATTTATAATTTATAAGATAATATATTTTTTCTTAATGTTAACTCAAAGAAATTGTGTCATTCACAGTTGAATATCAAACGGTAATCTGCCAATCAATTAAATTTCTCGAATAATAGACCAAATATTTAAACCCAGCATCCTCGAAAACAACTTTAAATCAAATTTTTTGCAGCCCGGTAACCTTATATGATATAATTTTCCTATTCGAATGCCACATTACTGCTAGTTCGATAGAAAGAGGACATATTGCAGAAGAGAGTCGAAATTAATTCTACCAAGAGTAGATCTTGACCTCCTCCCGGAAGAAAGGATGGCCAACGACTACTCATTAATAAAGGTCTACTATTAATATGTGAAAGCTGATCCGTGTTGTATGGGTTGTGATGACTCCTNAATTCAATTATCTGTTATTGATAATTTAAAGCGTTAAAGGTATACGTATGGATGTCACACCAAGTGATCAATCTAACACATCTGTAAAAATACGAGAATAATTGCTTTTATGTGATAATAATTTTTTAAAAATTTTGTCAACAGATTGTATAATCTATGCGGGAATCTCGTAAATATTGCGATTATGGAAAAATTATAGACCTATAAATTCCCACTGTCTTCCCTTATCTATCCGTCTTACCATTGTATTGCTAACAGGAACAATATAATGTACGAAACCAAAACACTATATTCCATGCAGGCAATTGCTATGAGCTACATTTTTTTAAACTCTTTCCGACGTGTGGGCACTAAGAGTGCCTCTTTTAGCAATCCTACTATAGGGTCGGCCAGGCCCACAATGGGGCGGCTGAGTAGTGAAGGACAAGATCCGACATATCCAGTTTTCAGGGAGGTTTATTTATTAAGGAGATTGATACTATTAAATTGTTGTGGTTAAAAATCGACGATGGTTCGACCGAAATTATAAATGTCGCAAAGCGCTAATATTAGGCCTATATGTAAAATACTTATCTTAAAACGAGCATTTAACAAATAAACTTGTAACATGTTACTTACTTTGTACGTTCGGTTCATTCCTGTTAGAATTACTGTCGGGAATGAAGAATTCGTTCTTGACAGGCTGAAGAATATAGAAATAAGACCCAAAAGATGTAATACATTAAAATAATTATGTATATCATAAATGTGTTGTTATGTATTAGAAAATTGACTTAAAACTAAATTATTTCTCACATGTATCGTAGAAATTATTTATTTTTCTTTTCGGTTTGGTTTACGGTTGTATACGGCAATGCGACGTGAGGACAATAGAGAGGTTGAGGCGCACGTTTTAAACGTGTAAACGTGTACGTGTGACGTTCGGCGCCGCTTTCCCGTAAGCCTAAAAGTTTGACAATGGTGTTTGGATAGTCGGTGGAATCACGCTCGACAGTCCATACACCATCGTCAAACTTTTAGGCTACGGGAAAGCGGCGCCGAACGTCACACGTACACGTTTACACGTTTAAAACGTGCGCCTCAACCTCTCTAATCTGCTAAAGGGGAGTGCTTCATAATGAAAACTGGCATCTATCTTGGTGTTAAAAACGTGAAGTAACCCGAAAACTCTACATAGCCAGCCCATTGACCAGGCACGAACCCACAATCAACAGTGTTCAGTGATTTTATCCACTGGGCAACATTTTAGACCAGGGAATTCCAACTTGTGTTCCGCCGAACCCTAGGGTTCCGCAAATAAAAATTTGGGGTTCCATGTTAAAATCCGTTGATCCTAGTGACGTATGAATGTGCCAGTGCAGATTTGGGATAAGGTGTAATTGTTCTAATCCGGGATATTCCTTGTATGGCAATACAAGAACTCCATTCGAGACTATACACGTGCAATGCGATAAAAAGCACATCTTAGACTATACGTGCATAGCTTGATAAACAGTGGGAACCGATTTATCGGTAACAGAACGAACTGAAATCATGATATAATGTTAGTAAAGCTAATGGAAACCATATAAGCAGTAAAACATGAAATAAAGTTACTTTTATCGTGAAAAAAAAATAGTAAAATAAACCATAAAATTAACGCCGTTGTTTAATAGAAAATACACCTAAATTTACAGTAATATTGTATAAAATTGTTTATAGTTGTCTTCCGTTTTAATAATAAACAAAAAATAATATGCAAATTTTACTTATAATGCCTGTAAAATATATGGAAGTTTGTGTCACTTACCTTTAAATCTTCGTATTTATATGGGAGATGAACTCGTTTACAATCATCAGTTTTTACTTTAAAATTCAATCTTTTTAAAACAACCTTACATTCTGATTTTATGCCTAGTTTAATGTCACATTTCTCCTCTTTTATTTCTTCTTTCTTACAATCTGTATTAGAATTTACAAAGTGATTTTGTTTTAAAAATTTTAAGCAAACAATTAAATAACAAATAAATAAATAAAACTGATTTAAGTTCTAATAATTTAAAATGTCAAAACGCTTTCTCTTCGCTCCTCGACTTTAAACTATCAAAAATTTAATACCAAAAAGAAAGAGGCCTTATAATAGTTACGTGTCATAACACTTAACTGACCTCGTATTGTCTTCGTCGTAGATGTTTGGGGTGAAATTTGAAAAAAAAAATGTACACTTATAAATTCACTAATAAAGCCTTTTATAAGAAAAACATTTTAGTTATACATTATATTTGTTCCTTAATGAATCCAATCTGATATAGGCCTATGTATTGGATATTATAAATAATGATAAGATTTTCCTGTTGGCAATTCAATATAAGACTTGGACAATTGGTACAGTACAATCCTTGATTCGAACAAGTTATCTAAATTGCTCCATTTATTAAATATTAATAATTTCTTATCATTTTAAGTGAAATAAATAAACTAGTTTAATTAGAATAAAATTGTAAAAAAAAGTATATAACAAAAGTTACTAACATATTAGATTGTCTGTAGTAGATATGGGTAAGAATAGGTTACTAATTATTTTACATTATAAGTAAAAAGAATTTAAATATAGATATTTACTTAATAGATGTCTCAAAACNACTAATTATTTTAATTTAACAAAAGTTAATAACATATTGGATTGTCTATAGTAGATATTGGTAAGAATAGGCTACTAATTATTTTAATTTAACAAAAGTTAATAACATATTGGATTGTCTATAGTAGATATGGGTAAGAATAGGTTACTAATTATTTTACATTATAAGTAAAAAGAACTTAAATATAGATATTTACAGTCGACCCCCCTATAAGATATAGATACGTTCCAATTTATTAGGAATCCGATTTCTTACAAGTCGTTCCAATCACAGCCCGACACGTGTCAAGTTTACGGACTATGGCTGATTGAAAGGTTTTCTTCCGTAAAATTAATCGATTCTACACTAATCCGACTCAACATTTCCAAAATACGTATATTTTTTCGTAGTTTTATAGGAATCGTAATTATAGGGACCGTAATTATAGGGGGGTCGACTGTACTTAATAAATGCCTCAAAGCTGCTGTGTGACTGGCAGTAAATGCAATTACTCATCTACAGAGCACACAGCAGTTCTTCTTTCCCTAAAAGTCCAGAAATAATTAGTAAGTAAATTAAAGCTTTACCACGTAATGACTTTTTCCTTCTAAAATCAGTGTTGTGTGTATTAAACATTGTGATTTTGAATTTATCATCAAAGAATATAAAGTAAAAAGAGATGATGGGTCATGACTAAAAGTTTTTAGATTCAGACCAAAACTAACTGAAGATGCCTATCCTCGACTCAGCGTAGAACTCTCCCCACGTTCGTCAAGACGATCCACGACATCCGGACATCAATCAACATTCGACCAATCAATACGATTATTTAGCATATGTAAACTGTCTCTTTCTGCTAGGGACCAGTTACGATAGTACCCTTTAAGCTATATAAAGCTTTATCAATTATATTACGTCATATAGAAGCTATGACGGAAATCCTATATGTTATCCTATGTAGCCTATATCTATTTGTAAATAGTTTAAATAAACGAATTTTTGTTTACGTTAAATCTGTAGTTGAGCACATTCCTACAAACACGCTGTCTCTCGAATATCTTCCATCCCGAATCCGAACGCTCGAGAAAGAGCAAAACGCTCACTTGGAGCAACAACGGTGTCAGTCCTGACGTACGCATCGCCAACTTGATGCCGACCCTTCGGTCACGGCTATTAACTTAATATTTATGTGAGATAAGCCGGGCGCTATAGGGGATGTGCCCTATTAACCACGTAATCGGCATGGGTTGTTAAAACCCGACCTCGGTGTCGTTAAGTGGTGATAGGAGGGCAAAAGCGAGTGGGGAGGTGGAGGGGTAAATTGACAGGTTTCCGGGTCTTCAAAGAAAACAGAGGACAGGGTAACATAACAAAATAAAGGTTTAATGAATATAACTAACTATAAAATATAAGACGATATACAAAGCTAAACACATTTATATATATATAGGTAATATAGAATTAAATGCGTTTACAATAATTCGTAATACAACTTGGCTACTCTATAGCAGCCATGCCTATTGCCGGAGAGAGAGAGAGAGTTCTCAGGCCGTTCATAATTGCCTCTATGTGTGGATGGACAGCTATATGCGACGATCAGTTCGGTTATAGAAGTAAAGTTTTCAATGTCATCTATCGTCGTGTTCTCAGACTTGATCGAACGGAAGACTGAAATGGACACTAGCTCAAGAATAACATCCTGTGTCGATCGACTCGAGCTTCCGGTGGCTGTCGATTTTATAGCATTATTGAGGGAAAGGGGTCACGAGATCGTCCTTTGTTGACGATGACTTACATTCTTTGACACCTAAGTGTCAACTTTCTCACTGGATTGTTGATACAAACGATGACATCCGATCCGATACTCTGCACGGAGAGTTTTCTCTGTCGGCGGATGTTTACAATCAACTTTCGAAAAAACTAATTTTTAACAGTTTTTTAAGCGAGTTCGCGCCCAAAAATCCGCGGGCCCACATTTATATAAATATGAATTTATTTATATTTACGCTTTAACTGTTCTTCTAATAACTATAAACATATTTTTATAGTGTTAAAAGTACAAAGCCTCTTACCGATTTCACTATTAAAACCAGAAATACTCCAAATATTAGAATTGTTTGTGTTATTTCTTGAATTTAAATTTTCATAAGTACTTATCTGAAACGATACAAAAATTATGCTACATTATCACAGAATTGTGTATAATTTTACAAAAGAATAAATCAAAAAATATTTAAACAGAAATAGAAAATACCGTTTGATCGATAAATTCCTTCAAAATAATCATATTTGATCTCTATTACCTGTGATTGTTTTATTCTAAAAATTCGTTTACTTGATTAAAATCTGGAGCATTTTCATTCCAAATGAATAGGTGAAAAAGACAATTTCTAATTTATTAATTAAACGTCAAAATACATCATCTCACTCTTTCTAGATATAAAATATTGAATTCTTTCTCTATTAAAATTGCATTTATTCATTCAAAAGGCTCCAAAATAGAAAAATTTAAATAAATTCTTATTTAGTTAGTCTCCCACCCCATTCATATGATATAAAACATACAAAATATCCATTTCGACTCGTTCTTATTAACTATTTAATCGTATTTTTTGTTATTTGTAATTAGAATAAGTTCAGCTCTGGCTTACAATGAATGTGACATTTAGGAGCTGTTCATAAATTACCTCCGCATTTTTTTCACATTTTTACTTTCCCTTCCCCATTGTTCCAGTTTCTCCAAGTTTCCGTAACCCCTTCTCCTGTCTTCGGACGTTCAACAAGACTCCACCCTTTTTAAAAACCTTCATAACTTTACGAAGGATAAATACAGTAAGTAGAAACAAACCATACAATAAAATGCATAAACTGTACAAAATTTAACGAAATAAACGAACGTTTACTAAAGTTCAACTCCTTCCTTCCCCTTCACTTCCCGAAGGGAAATGTTTGAAGTTAACACTTAACACGGGGTCAACTAATTGAAATTTGCCCTGGTCCCATTAATATATAACGCGCCGCTGTTGATTTGTGTATTTTAATGATTCCAATAAGATATTAGATAATCAACTCAATTGTATTATTTAAGTAATCAACACAATTAATTCTATTATTTATAATTATTCGTAGTAATCTAGATTTAAAAATCGTTAATATTGGCTGCAATTTTTAATCATATTTTTATTTAAAAATCACGTAACTACGGTTAATCGACTTTCCGTTCGATAACTTCGATTTTCACCTACATAACTCTGTTCTCGAGGTTAAAGAAAGACAGACGAGCAGACTGTCTACAGGGAGATTCTACAGATTTAAAATTTAAAAGTTTTAGCTCAGTTAATATCACAAGTAAAGTCAGGTAACTGCTGCAAATGATAACCAATAAATAGTAACGAAAATTAAATAAATCTAAATCTAATAAAGGGTCCTGGAGACACTGTCTCACTAATTACTGTTTGATAGTTTTTATATGTTGACGTGATGGATTCTTTTGGGTTCAGTTGACTTCTCTTACCACAAAATCGTAATATTTTCCCTCGTAGTCATGAATTTAAGTAGACAAAGTTTATTTTAAAATTTTGGAAGGAATAATGTAAACGTAGAAAGTTTGCAAGTGACGCTTTAAACAACACTAGAGTCGTATACAAAAGTACATTTTACTCACCTGTACATTTTTATATTCTGAAGATTCTGATTTAATTCTTCTACATAACTTTTTGTTATCCGTATTAAATTCTTTCTTGCAATTCTTTAAAACTTGAAACTTTTCATCACCTCGGTTAAATGTAAATTCTGAATATTCATTTTCTGGCTCTACTTTTATTTTCATTTTCACAATTTAGGATATTCTCGTATGTCAAAAATCTGCTTTTAATGAAAGACTTTAAACCGTCGAGTTTGAATTTACGTTCGTTTACAAAAATAAATAAAATTTATACAATATGAAACACTTACCTGTCCTAGTTGAATATGTATCATCAATCAAGATCAATTAGTAAATATCCATATTAATTTTACTCGAATTTTAGAGCGAGTAACAAAGACAGAGAAATAAACTCACTCAGTGCTATTGTTCGTGTTGTAGCAGTTAAGAAAGTCAAGCACACTCAAGGTTAATAATAGAAGAAAGTCCAAGGGTAGCACGTCACCAACTCACGTGATAGTTTGTAGCAACGAAACCCACGTGATATATGGTAAAGAAATGTTTCTAGAACCATCTTCTAGAACCATTGTCATCTGGCAAATGCCGTTATTACATCGTCAATCCCTTCACTTAGGTCTTCAGCTATTTTATTCATCTACCTCTCTTTCGATCTTATTCCTTCCATTAGGTGCATTCATGCTATTAAATTTCGATGGTTAAAGATAGACGGGGTTGAGAGTTAATGGGGATCGTATGTATCTCCATTGGGGTCGGGATTTAATGACGATTGTACTCGTTATTAGCAATTGTAATTTTTTGTATAAAACTCATCCCTACTCTTAAAATTATCAAAATTTTGTTTTCGGGAAAGTTGCATAACTCGTTGCTGGTTTATTTTAATATCGAATTTTCCTATCGAATGGAGATAGAAAAAGAACGTGTGTACATAAAAAATTAAATATAATATACCTGTTAATGTTTTTACAATTATTTTTAAATAAGCGGTTTTTCCTTTGTTTTTGAATTTCTTTCCCTTTTTTCCTTTATGTGCGTCGGAAGTTTAGGAATTTTGGCGGCTGTCTCTTCTACACGGGCAATAATTATTACCAGGGAGAATCCAGGGACGTGCCCTATGTCGGGTGACCCCATTTTTAAGCGCAGAACTTCTCCAATTATGACTGGTAAATCTAGAAAAGTGAAAAGAAGAAAGTACGCGACAGGGGGACTGGAAGTTGGGTGACCGTAGAGGTCACTGACAAGCTCTTTATTTAAAACACGTGTGAAGAAAAATTGCCTTTAATATTTTTCAGATTTGGAGAACAATTACAGTAAGGACACAGAAGTGTGAGTTTCTTACAATAAGTTTCTATAACAGTAAGTTTCTAAAACAGTTTTTCGGCGTTGGGTATAACTTTATTGATTACGGGGGGAGGTGGATCGAAAAACTTTAGGAATCACTAGTTTAGGAACATACTAGCTGAATGTCTGCTTGCAAAGAGAATGTTCGGAAAGTTATTTTGGCACCTCATAAAATTTTGCAGCTTTCTTCGGCCCTATTTTCTTGTACCTTACCATTCTCAATACCTCTTTCACACTTTTACAAACACTATTACATGGTTTGAATTTGTGCGTAATACGGAAGCCCAAAGGAGTCGTGTTATTGAAAGCACCAATGGGTCGCCATATTGAAAGCACCAATGGGATCTATATTTCACACATCGTCATTTTGAATTAACTTAATTTCTGTCGACACCGAACTTTAATAACGTAAACATCAGACAGATTAACATGTATTTCTAGGCTCTAGAACGGGACACATGCACCACAATCGATATTCAATCAAACAATTAATTAATTAATTAATGTTTATTCGGGATTTAAAGCAAGTCATAAAAAAAGACGAGTAAACTATTACTATTGTTCCCGTTGTAGCAGCAACAAAGGATGCACCCTGAAGAAACTCGGTAGTGACACCTGTCCAGCACACGTGACAGTTTGCGGCTATAAAATCACATGTTATATGGTTAATAAATATATCGTTTTTAAAACGCACCTATGATTGTATATAGGCCTATTTAATCGTGTTTTTAAAATGTAAAAAGTCCAACTTCGGTCACGTGTTGCTAGAGTAACGGTCTTGTTTTGACAGTTGTAATTTAAGGAGTCATGCGCGTAAGAAAAAGGTTACCTTCATACAGGGCAGTTCCCTTGACTATCCATCGTAGAAATTGTTGTCTGAGTAGAAGAGAGACAGTATAGTCGTAAAAATTTGTAAACCTCAGACGTACATACAGGAAAAAAAAGAGGATAAAATTCGAAAAAAAATATCGTCGATTTAAAGATAATTGTGAAAACATTAAGAAGTATGTTATATTTAACTTATTATGTTAACTCTATCTCCATTCAAAAGGTTAAAGTAGGATAAACCAGCAACGAGTTTCACAATTTTCCCGGAAACATTTACATTTCTGTTGGCACCATCTGTTATTATATTTTAATAAAAATGTTTATATTTTTAAATATTATAAAATGGTAAAAACAACAACTTTGAGGGAATAAGTATCATAAAAGGAATTACAAATGCTAATAACAAGTAAAATCGTTATTAAGGCCGATCCTGCCGGAGATACACACTACTCCCATTAACTTCTCATCCCCTTGACTTTTAACTACCAAAATTTAACAGCCTCAGTACACCTAATAAACAAACCACCCTGCAAAATTTCAGAAATTTCTAACAAAAATCTTAGAAGTTATTATTCTTCAAATAGAATAAACAAAATCGTGCGAACCCCTCCTCCACACACAGTACATACAGAAATTACCCCCGAATTTTTTTTTGCATTTTGCTGCATTTCAAAGTGCTCTAGATCCGAAAGTGTAAAAATCTGGGACTCATTTTTTGCCTCATCGTCATAGTTTCTTTCTGTTATAACAACCGAAAAAGTAACTGATTAATTAAGATAAGAACTACATATTAACAAATTATGCTCAGGTCCTACATTATTGTTAAAATGATGCAGTTTCTTTTTTATTATAAACATCCATAAACAGTGTGAAAGAAACAAAAAACAGAAAACTAGAGCTTTTTCTCTTCCAACAAACTGTATGGAAAGGGACACATAATAAATCCCGTGTGGAAAATTTCTGAAATTCTTATTGATTAGAGGAATTGATGCTGTTAAATTTTAGTGATTGAAAATCGAAACAGTGGAGAGATAACTGGGGTCGATTCACTGCTGTGTAATATATTTAAATAACGGAAGTTGTAATAATTGTTGTAATTTCTAAAATTTAATTTTACCGTAATAATCACTGTAATAATCGAATTTATACCAATTTATAGAAATGTAACATCTGATAAGGGGTGCAAGTTACACAAAAATATCGCACCCGAAATGCATAGTGAATAAAGAATAACGAAGATAACACTCAGAACACAAAACGACTTCCAACAACTTAACACTTCGTTTAGTAATAACAATCCACGAACCCTTTTTGTACAAGTGTTATGTCCTTAACTAACTCCACAAACGCTTTCGACCTCCACCGAGGTCTGCTTCGGGTGGTGACTAACCGTGCTTCCTTCTGACCGTCGTAACGATGTCGCCAGAGATGTAAATAATTGTGTGTGTCGGGTTTCACCCCTCCGACTGTCCCTGTTCGAAATCCTCGAACAAATACCTCCACGCCTCCGCGATCGTTTCACCCTCTGTGAAGTTGATGCAGGTGCCCCCACAGTTAGCTTTATGAATCTCCCAGGCCTCCAGGTGACGGATGTGATCAGTTCGGAACGCTTGTCTGATTAGTCTGGTATTCTGGAAGTCCGCCCGTATTTCAACGTAGGTCGATAAGGCCGGTGGTGTGCCTGTTATTTTTAATATCTGCTTGATGTTCTCGTATCAGTTTTTGTGTTGAGCGGATGGTGGAGCCAATGTAAACCAAGTCTCTGTGGAATCTGTCGTACCTGATGGGAATGGAGTATACACTTGGGCCCTGCTGAGATCCATCGCGTCCTTGGCGTTACGCAGCAGGTCGTAAACAGTGCCGGTTCTCATGTACGTGATCCTCGCGCGTTACGGCAAGCCCTGTATGGGGGTCTAAATGTTGGTTGAACTTGACGACCGCGCGCCTAACGTTCTTATCGGGTTGGTGGTTGTCGTCCGGCGAAGGCAAAGGATTGTCGCTGCGGCGTAGGGGACGGTGGGCGTAGGCACTGCTAAACCGTGCACCATGCCTTTACTGTAGCCATGCTCAACGGCAATTTTTTTAATGTGTCGTTGCTCTAACCGTGTGTCGCGATCGTTTGTGTGGTGAGCGAAGGCCCGATTGGTAAGGGCGCGGAAGGCCGCAATTTTTTAGATAAAGTGGTCGGAGGAGTTCGCGGGGATGAAAAGTGGGAGTTGGCCCGGTTTACGGTAAACGCTCGTTTCTATATTACCATCCCCTGAGACGTATGTTAAAATCTAAAAAATGTGCACTCGAGTTGCTAACCTGATCTAAGCTGAGGGTGAGGCCGTAAGCATTGTCGTTCATGCACGACAAAAAATCGTCGAGATGCGGTGTGGTTTTCCAAAGTATAAAGATGTCATCCATGTAGCTTTGGTATAGACTAATGTATGGTAAGAATTAGGACAACACCCTCTCCTCCAACTGTCGCACCACTAGCTCGCAAAGCCCGCTCCCCCGAAAGCGAGCTGCCCATGGGCACACCTCGTCTTTGTAAATAAGTGGCGTTGTTGAACTGGAAAACCGAGGTGTAGCACATTAGATGTGCCAGCTCTAATATCTGCTGACGGTGCCGGAGCGCATCATTCTCACGAAGTAGAAGGTCCCTAAGCGCGCAGAAGCATGGCTGCAGACGTATGGAAGGGAAAAGGGACACGAAATCCAAGACCGTGATGTGCGGGTCGTCGCCTACATCGACCCGCCGTAACAAGTGAACAAAAGCAGCGGAATTGGTGGTAGAAAACTTACAACCCTTCAAACGCTCAGCGGCAATGCTGTGAACGGCTTTTTTTTTTTTTTTTTTTGGTGACCTAGCTTTATCCAGAAC